TATATATATATATATATATATATATATATGTATAATGGGTGTACATTGGTCTAATATATTTAAAAAGAAAAAAAGAAAAGTGGTAATATATTTGGATAAAGTGTGGAAGCATGATCGGTTTCACTAAAAACAAGGATTAACATGGTTGGGATTTCCGAAGAAAGTGGGTGTTTTGTGGTCAACCCTGATAAATAAGGAGAGAGGAAGATGATGGGCATTTGGTTTTAGGTTTGGTTTTGTTGTGAGCGGAAGAAGATGTCGAAGGAGGAGGAGGTGTTCATAGGCGCGATCGACCAGGGTACGAGCAGCAGCAGGTTCATAATATACGACGGGACGGCAACGGCAATCGGATGCCACCACGTGGAGTTCACGCAGTTCTACCCGGAGGCTGGGTGGGTGGAGCACGATCCCATGGAGATCGTTGAGAGCGTCAAGGTCTGCGTCGCCAAGGCCGTCGACAAGGCCACCGCCGATGGCTTCAACGTCGATAAGGGTCTCAAGGCCATCGGTCTCACCAATCAGAGGGAGACCACTCTCCTTTGGAGTAAATCCACTGGCCTCCCTCTCTACAACGCTATTGTTTGGATGGACGCTCGCACTTCCACCATTTGCAGGTCTTTTCTCTTTTCTCTTTTCTCTCTTCTCTCTAATTCTTGTATGGATCCCTTTCTGTCTTATTTATTTATGTCACCTGTCCAATGCTATCTATGGAATCCTTTTCAAACAGGAGACTGGAAAAGGAGTTATCCGGCGGCAGAAACCATTTTGTGGAGAGGTGTGGCTTGCCTATTAGCACATACTTTAGTGCTGTGAAGCTGCTGTGGTTGATGGAAAATGTGGATGCTGTGAAGGAGGCAATAAAGAAGAATGATGCGCTGTTTGGAACTATTGACACTTGGTTGATATGGAATCTAACTGGTGGGGTGAAAGGGGGATTGCATGTCACTGATGTTTCCAATGCATCCCGGACAATGCTCATGAATCTAAAAACCCTTGATTGGGACGCGTCTATCTTAGAAACCCTTAAAATTCCTGCTCAAATTTTGCCTAAAATTGTTAGCAATGCTGAAGTTATAGGAGAGATTGGGTCTGGATGGCCAGTTGCTGGGGTGCCTCTTGCTGGATGTTTAGGGGATCAACATGCAGCCATGTTGGGACAAGCATGCCGTAGAGGGCAGGCTAAAAGCACTTATGGCACAGGTGCTTTCATACTGCTAAATACTGGGGAAGAGATAATTAAATCAACGCATGGTCTTTTATCCACTGTAGCCTTTAAGCTTGGCCCAGAAGCTCCAACCAATTATGCATTGGAAGGGTCAGTTGCTATTGCTGGAGCCGCAGTGCAGTGGCTCAGAGACAGCCTTGGCATCATTTCCAGTGCTCCAGAGATAGAGGAGCTGGCATTACAGGTTGAAAACACTGGTGGGATTTACTTTGTTCCCGCTTTCAATGGATTGTATGCTCCATGGTGGCGTGAAGATGCTCGTGGGGTTTGCATTGGAATAACAAGGTTTACAAGCAAGGCGCACATTGCTCGAGCCGTGCTTGAGAGCATTTGTTTCCAAGTGAAAGATGTCTTGGATTCAATGCATAAAGATTCAGGAAATGTTGAATCCAAAACAGAGGAGTTTTTGCTTAGAGTGGATGGTGGGGCAACTGTTAACAACCTGTTGATGCAGATTCAGGTTTGGACTAACTGCATATTATTTTCTATATGAATCTCTTTCTTTCATCTAATTTTTAAAATTTTGTTAGTTGTCAGGTTACTTTTGCACTAACAATAACGTTATGTGATTCCTGGTTTGTAGTGCTTCTCTAAAGTGTTCGTGTTACTTTTTACATAACTGATAAATTTTTGTTAATAATGTTCTACAGGCAGATTTGTTGGGAAATCCAGTGATTAGACCTACTGACATAGAGACAACGGCACTTGGAGCAGCCTATGCTGCAGGATTAGCTATTGGGATTTGGAATGAAGATAATGTTTTCGATACTAAGGTGAAGATGAAGAATGCTAATGTTTTCCGCCCCCAAATTGCTGAGGAAGTGAGGAAAAAGAAAGTGGAGGGTTGGTGCAAAGCTATTAGTAGAACTTTTGACTTGGCTGATCTTGCTATTTGATCTTGATGATCTTTTCCCGCATTTTTTTAATGTCCTTTACTTCTGAGTGCAACATCTTATATATAGTCTTATTAGTCACTAAAATGAAGGGAATAATTGTATAAACTATCAAGTATCAAATAAATTTGGCGTTTTGTTTTTATTTTGTTCCTTCTTTTCCTTGTATTTGGAGAAGGAAAAAAAACATTGCATAAAATGGAAGAATTACATGAGTGGAAGTTTCTTATTAATCTTTTTGGTATTGATCGCTGAGAATTATAATTCTGTATACTATCAGTACTCAAGGGTGGACGGGCTTGCAATGACAGACAATGATACATTCTCAAAAACTTGTACTTTAACATAAAAGCTCACCATTTACGTACACCTGTGATATAACCAGTTTTGAGTAATGTTATTGAGTGATTTTTGAGAACTGTTGATTTCATGTGTGAAAATTGAAAACCCAAAATTTTTTGTAACATACAATTAAGAGTATCCAGAGTGTCAGACAAGGGTATGACTACTGTTTTGAAGTGTTATTTCTTGGTTTCCATGTTGCATTGGTATTATGGCTTGATTTTCCCATAAAACCAACAAACAAACTATATTTGTTACTAAAACATTTAAATTGATTAGTATGTCAGAATTATACCGTTTAAAAGCTCCCTACATAGGTGTATGGATATCATAGTTGTATGCGGAAGACTATTACTAGTGCCAACAAGGCCATGACACAAGATGTACAAAAGGTCCAATAGATTAACACAATTTCTATAGCAGTATCATCATCATATTTATATTTGACAAGATTAGTTCAGTGTCTGTTCTCTGGCCATTCTCAAGTGTCCATCGAAGTTCAGGATTGCCTCTATAGCTGCTCTGCTATCATCAAATATTGCAAACTGTCCCTTAATAGATGTCAAACCAGATAGACGATTCCTACGATCCGTAGTATATATTTGATCTATAGAATATCAAATATTTCCGCTCATGTTACGTGAAACGTCTAAGAACTCCACATTCACCAACTCAGAAAGACTTGCGGGAATGGAACCAATGAAGTAGTTTCTTGAGAAATTCAAAGCATGAATCCAACTTAGATCTCCTATTTGTTCTGGGATCTCCCTGGGAAGCTGGTTGCATGACAAGTCTAATCTAGACATGTAATCAATAATGTTTTCTTCATAAGAAAATGATATGCTTTTAGTGGTAAACACCACTACTTCCCGCCTTCCTGATTCAGATGTAATGTAAGAAAACCCTAAAAAAATATATATATTTTGGGACCATGGTATTTATATTTGTACAAAGCATTTATGGTTGAAAGCAATAACGGATCCAGAAAATTTGTTAAGTGAATGCAATCAAATATTTTATAATATTTTTATTAAAAAATATAATAATCAAATATTTTATATACACGTAAATTTTAATCAAGTTTATTTTATTTAACATTCTTTATCCAAAAATATTTATGAAACAATAAATAAGAGTACTATCAACAATAAATGTGATAAAAATATTTAAAAAATATAGTGTATATTTTATGTAAAAATATAAACATCAAATATATTTAACTCACTTCCTTATTCAATGTAAAATTGGCCTTTTATATGGAGAAGAAAAAATCTCGCAACGTAGGAATGGAGGGGATTGATCCAAAACATTAGTTTATTAAGGATTTGGGTTCTCGAGCATATGCAATGTCCATTCTATTTTAAGTCACAAAAACCAGTATTGGACCTTGGCCCTGTTAACCTGTTTATGTACCAAAAAACAGAAAATAAAGTGAACGATTCTGTTTTAGCCATCTTTCTAAAATAAAATAAAATGAATTTCATTTTTTTTATAAACTAAAACTAGTTTTTTTTTATAAAAATTTTCTTTTACTTTTCTAAAAGTTGAAATACACAATTTTTAATTTTAATTTATAAAAAAAATTATTTATCCTTTTTATTACTTTTTTTTTTCTTCTATAAATACTTGCAGAGAAGTCTATTGCATTAAATCCATGTCTTCTTATTTTCATTTTATATTATATTTATTTTGACAAAATAATTTACAGATTTATGAAAGCATTTTTGTTAAGGCATTTAATTTTTTTTTTCAAAAATAAGGTCCTATTTATTTATGTTTTGAGCCCATTAAGACTTCTAAAGCCCATATAGGTAAATACACTGATTTAATACAATCAAATATAATTTTTTTTATTCGTCCCTGGAATATTCACTGCCGATAGTTACGTTGGAGACACCTCAAAGGGTGGGATAGCTGACCTCAAGATTTAACGCGGCTGCATACACAAGGTAGGATTCAAATCCCTGACCTTGTTTAAGCTAGATCAACTCCGCTGAACCAGACGCTTGGGTTATCAAATATAATTATTTAACCATGCAGGTGTGAAACATGATATCATGAATGCAATTTGTTAATATTATTGCAAATTAAGAGATTCGTCTCAAAGGCATCTTCTGGCATCTTCTACCAATTACCAAAAGAAAAGGCATCTTCTATGCACCATCAGATTACAGATGAGTCTTATGAATAAGTTTATCATGACAAAAGTAAATGCCACTCTCTAATTCTTTCATTTCTTTAAACTCTTGCAAATACTCATAATTTCTCGTTAAGCTGGTGCTGAACAATTTAAATTTGAAAACAGTTGATTTTGTGAAAGAGTTTTTTGTTTGCCTTTTAAGAAATGGTTAAGCTCATAAAAAAAAATATTAGAGTATTTTTTCTTGCAATTTTTTGCTTTTCTTAATTAAAAACAATCGAATAGTCCTTATAATTTTTTAAGTGAAAATATGGCATTTTTTTTAATGTTTCCTATTATTACTCTATCGAGATACCAACAAAATTCTAAATACAATAACATTAATTTATTTATTTAATAAATGATTAAACAATAACTTAATCCCACTGTACCATCAAACATGTAGACCAACTGTTTCGATGTTATTCTAATTTAACAAGTGATTGAGTTTGAATTTTAGATATATAATTATGTTAAATATTTAAATAGATTTTTTTTAATAAATAGTGATTATATTTGATTAAACATGATTGTTTCTAATAAAATATATTATATATATATTCTCACTATAAAAACACGTATTGCAGAATAAGTAAATAAAATTACGAGACCTTATCAAATTGGGTTGTCATGTTATATTTATATAGTAAGCTCTAATTTTTGTTGAATCTTATATGCAGCAACACTTTGTTTTTTTTTTTTTTTCTTTTTTTTTTCTCCATTTTCTCTCACCAGAAGCATATTATATAGGTTTGGGTTATTCTTCACGGCTTCACCTGAAAAACTTTAGAAAGGGAGTGCCAAAAAGATGCTTTACAGTTTAAATGTTTAATTATCAAGCTTACGCAACTCAAATTAAAAAAACAAACCAAAACATTCGTGTCACCTTATCCTTAAATTTTAATCCTTCATTCGTTCAAATTCCACTGAAATCCAAACGCCCATGATTCTATGCTTTGTCCTATGCACCCACCACTTGTACCCAAAGCAAGACCCATCACCCCAAAACATGTGACAAAAAATAATAATAATAATAATAACAAGTATATGAATGTGGTTCATCAAATTGGCTATAATTACTTATATTTGTTCACATCATGAAATCATTTTATTATTCCTATCTAGTGGGTTGTTTGGCAAGAATGTAATTAATAATGCATTAAATTGAATGAGGGTGTCTTAGTTAGTTAACACACCACTCCACATTTGCCTAGTTTCTTAGTCTCCTTTGGCAATCATAGTGTCGTTCACACATGGCTCTTATGATTGAATGTTCCCTTGGCATCATTTACATACTCTCAATGGAATTGAAAACGATGGTTTTCTATAAGTGCCCCATTTGACTACCAAAAGAAGAGTGCTGTTAATTTTGTCAATTTCGTGAACATTTCGGGTATTATTTTGGCTTATGAGTCATAAATACTTTGTTTGCATTATTTAAGCAACGGCAAAATAATGTTTCTCAAAGTGGGCCATCGATCGGAAATTCGAACAAGAAGATCAAATCATATTAAGGTTGTGAATTGTACACGACAACACGTGATCGGTGTTTAATTAAGCATCAAATATATATGCGCATAACTGCTGATAAGGTAAGTTGATTCATATGCAGTTTTCAGACAAATACAGGACAGCTTATTCTCAATTATTATTTGTTTGCTTTGCTTAATTTGCGTTACTAAATTTAATGAAGAATATATTTTTCCATGTCCTTTCATGATTTTGGAGTAAAACACTGAAGTCTAAACTCTTAATTTATTTATATCTTTTACGTTCAAAAATTATGTAAAGAGTGACAAGATTCTCTAGTTAAGTTTTTAATGTAGTTCCATATTCAATGTATATATAAAAAAATATTGCATTCATAAATTAATAAATACATATCAAGAATGTTGGAACATCCTTAGAGTAAAAGGTCCTTTATATATCCGTATATTATGAAGAACAAAATTAGCAATATAGAATAAATTAATCACCTATACATTGTTAGTGAAATTTTTTTTACACTGATAACCAATTATATCTTTTAATTGTGTCATGTCATTGTTAAAAGTAAATATATTTACCGTAACATGACACAATTAAAAGATCTCATTAATTACGAGTATAAATATGATGGATTTGAGTTATTCTTTGAACTGTTGAAATTTATTAATATTTTATATTGTTTGATTTTTTTAAAAGTAATTATGTATTAATAATAAAATTATTTTATTTAATACTTTGTATAACATAATATTATATTGTTTAATTTATAATATAAATGTAAAACATACCTTAATTTGTTTTTCTTTATACTTTTAAAGTTAACTATATACAATTTTAATGTTGATAAAATATGTTAACACGCCATGTTGATAGAGTCCTGCCCATGTGTTTTAAATCTTGGTCGAATCTAATTCAAATTCAAATAAATAATCTGGCCAAGTAGATAGAAAGATAACCCAACCCTATTCATCTCCATTGAATAATATACACAATTTTTTAAAAATTAATTATAATTTTGTTGTGGTTGTTGTAAAATAAAATAAAAAATCATTTATTTTTTCCTTTAATTGGCTCTTTTTCCTATTATTATTATTGCCATAATGGGGTATGAGAAAATTGTACATTGTACACACTCCGATCGAATTAAACGTACTTTGAATATTACTGTATAAAAAAAATGCACAGGGTTTTCCCCGGTGGAAGTGAATCTGTAATTTATAGTGCAGTAGACATTAAAGATGATAGTGTGTAGTTATTGTACAGTTATGTTATGCATATATAAATGATTTATTGATGCATAGTTATGGTGAGAAAGTTAATGATAGAAGCAGCTAGAAATGGAAGGTGAAAAACGAAAGAGTCCTGTAAAGGCAAGAAAAAGCAAAGGTGTGAAAAAGGATGGTAAGTCAGAAAAATGAAATCCTGGAGCAAAGAAAAGCAATCCAAGAGTAAAGCAAAGAAACTGCGACGAACCATACGAAATCAAATTAAGGAAGCCTTGAGTTTTGAGTTGAGACAACTTTTGTCTCCAATGTCAAAGTGCAATTCTTCACGCAAACTAATGAAACCAAAGAAAACATACAAACAAAGAAAGTGAAAGCAGCTAAATTTTTTATGATATGATATATTATGCGCACAATATCATGGTATATAATAATAAACAAAAAAAAAGGTATGGAAGAATAGTAAAAAGATAAATAAAAGAAAGAAAGAAAGAAAGAGAGAATCACAAGACACATCAGGTTTTCTGATCAGACTCTGACCATAACTCAGACTCTGCAAATAGTTTTCCTTTCCTTTCTCTCATTGCATTCTTTCTTCTTTCAATGCTCCGCTGACCCCGCATGACTCATCATTCAATGCCAGCTTACCCTCATTCATTGCCCCCTTTTTCAAATTCAATCCTTTACCCACATGGTAAAACACACAGTAAAATTTAATTATAAAATAAATCAAATCAATATTATCTTCTTCCTAGTAATACAAAATTTTTAAGATTAAATATCTCAAATTTTAAGTAAATTATTTTTAGCCTTTTAAATTTAAAATTAATTTTTAAAATTTTTTTAAATTTATATATTTAAATTTTGTTAAAAATATATTAAATATTATCACATAAAATTCATTTTTTTAGTATTTTTATTAATAAAAATATTACATCAAATTTAATTAATATTACATAACTATCTTAATTTGACACTTTTATATATATTATTGGTGATTTAAAGGGTTAAAATAAGATTTTGGAACTAAAAAAAGTAGTTTTACATTTAAGTAATTAAAAATAAATTTACCTTAAATTTGAGGAAGTAGAAACATATTTAAATAAAACTAATTTTTTTTAAATTAAGTTGTTCAATTTAAATTTTATGAAATAATGATTTTTTTAATCTCTGGTGAAGATCGTAAGTGTACACAAAGTATATATTTATCTCTCAACATAATATATTTCACATTTAAAGTTAAGATTTCAAATCCTAAATATCTTAATTAAGAGATACAAGTTCTTACTATTTGTATCAATCAATATTGATTTTTTGAAGTGATGATACATGTAAAACTTATAAAATATAGATTTTTTGTCCATATTTTTTCATCATTAACAATATATCATGAAATAATAGAAAAATATAAATATAAAAATAATGTTATATAAATCATTGTATAGTTTTTTTTCTCAACATATAATGTATAATATGATAATTTAAATAAGAAAAAGAAGGGTATTTAATGTTATTATTGCACTAGTATGAGTGTAGCAACCAATGATGGGTAGGCCGGCTTGCATGTGCTTTAAAGCTTAAACCATGTCTGAATGAATTAATGAGTAATTGAAATGAAAGTTGGGGTGCAAAGGTTTGAGCTTCACGTGATTTTTGCGGCAAACTTGAATAATACTCGCATTGAAAAGCTAGCTAGGTAGCTTAAGTTGATGATAATGAATTTTCACTTGCAAGGATAAAAGAAAGATGGAAAGTTGCAGTCATGAGAAAAAGCCCCCTGGACCTGGTTATTAAGTTATTATGGAGTAGTGGGGAAAGGTTTTTTCCATTAGAAAGAGCACAGTGGGAGTGGCAGTGGGTGTGTGGAAGTAGTAGATTATTAAAGCGCGTGTAATTAGATAAAGTTAGAGTTAGTAATGTAGTATTTTTATATTTGTTGAAAAGAAAGGGTGGGTTTGTGTTTGTGTATAAAAGGGGACATTTACATTCCTCTTTTCCCGCTTCCTAAACCAGAACAAGAAGACATGGCTGCTACTTCCAACACCACCTACGGAGCCGACCCGACAACGCCCAACACCACCTTCGTCCAAGCCGACCCTTCCAACTTCCGCGCAGTCGTCCAGAAGCTGACGGGCGCCTCCGACCACCCCTCCGCCCAGAAGCTCCCCCTGACCCTCCCCTCCCGCATGGCCCACTCCCAGAGGGCCGACCAGGTGGGCCCCAAAAAGCCCAACTTCAAGCTCCAGGAGAGGCGCGGGAAGAAGCTGGAGCTGAGCGTGGGCGTGGCGGAGAGAATGATGATGGTGATGGCCTCGCCTGTTTCCCCACTGGAGATGTTGGCGCGTGGGAGTGGGAGTGGGAGCCCACGCACCCCCCACGAGGAGGAAGAGGAGAGAGCCATAGCCGAGAAAGGGTTCTACTTGCACCCTTCTCCTCTCTCCACTCCCAGATCCCCTCAGCTTCTCCCTCTTTTCCCTCTCCATTCTCCCACTCACACCAACAACAACCATTCTTGACCACCTTCTTCCTTATCATTTTTTTTTTTTTTTTTTTTCTCTTCTCTTTCCAAATACAATCTATCCTTGTACTCTACTACTCTTTCTACCTTAACACTCCTGTGCGCTACTCCACCTTTTTATTTAACTAATTACGCCTCCTTTCTTTCTTTTTCTTATCACTTCATTTTCATCCCCATATATACTTACACTACACAATCATTACCAATCTCCATTTCACAATCATTGCGCCACCAACTTCTATTTCCTCTCTTACCTAACAATACAAACCATAGTGCCGCTTCTTAATTTAATGCCCAACATCTCCTTACAATTAAATCAATGCTACCAAATGGAACATTGAAAAAATCACCCCTTAGGCAAATTAAGAATTTGGATATATATTTAGATTTTTCTTATAATTCAGAATTAAGAATTAAAATTAACTTTTACATAATTAACTAAATATTTTAGTTTATAGAAAATTTATTATATTTTTTTCTTCTTATTTTCTTATAATTGTGAGTACTTTTGAAGAATTTTTTTTTTTTAACAAAATTCACTTATAATGTGAAAAATTAGTTTATAGTTCTATCACCAAAATTTATAAATCATTGTCCTAAAAATTAATGTTCATTGTGAATTATAACGACCTAACAGATTACTATATTTTACATTTAAGCAATTTAAGTAGTAGAAAACATAAATCAATTTATTTACAGTTTACATGCAAATAACCCCTAGATATTCAAACAACAATATGTATATGTATAAAGTTCAACTAAAAACATAAATGTAAATCCTTAAATGGGATTATAACTATAAACTATACATATATATATATACAAAAAATTGGACCGAAAACATAAATTTAGGGTTATCAATCAAGTAACTACTATTATAAACCAATCACATCAGAGTAGTCTAAACAAAATCGTCATCATCAACATGACCCTCAAAAACTCATTTGTCCTCCAACTTATTCCTACCCTATTCTCATATAGATATGATCAATCAGAGTCTAACAATAAGTAAATGTAAGAGTAAACTTGAATTCAAAAGAAATCACACATTATAGAAGCAATAAACTAATTATACAACGACTATAACAATACTATCAACATTTAGCATATGTGTACAACTTTACAATAAGGTGACTTCTTAACTTACAACACAATTCAACGTCAACTCAACAACTAAACAATCTCACTACATAGCAACATAGATATCCTAATATAACAACAATATCAACTTTGAATACAAACCAACTTAACAACATATGAGCACAACAACATGTTGTGTTGTCACACACTTCAACTAAGAGATCTTTTTAACACAGGTGAGTAGTCTAAGTAATTTGATCATACCGAATCACTAGTATGACCTGTCGCAACCAAGTTAAGTAAATATAACTTCAGACTACTCAAACATTGGTTTAACAACTTAAATTAATTTCTCAAGTTTCAATACTTAAACTAAGTCTTATATGAAATTAGCCCAACGACTACTTTCCAAATATTATGCATCTTTCCAAAGAATTTTATCAGTAAACATATATATGTAAAAATAATAGTTTGTTTTGGTGTACACATTTTTTAAACAATTTTATTTTTGAATTTTAAATAATATTAAAAATTAACTATATTTAGAAACATAAGACTAAAACTCTAGACTTTAAAATTTAATGATCAAACTCAAGGACACCGATTATTATAAATGATTTAAGGTATACGTATTTAAGTATTATGAGTCTTTCAAAATATTTTGTTCAAATCTATCATTGTTTACGTTATTGTAAGTGTTACTAGTCTGAAAGATTTTTACATATAATAAAGATTAAAAATTAAAATGAAGATAAATTATATATATATATATATATATATATATATATATTTATTAAATTGAGACATTTAAAACACATTTAACCTTTTATTTATTTGTTAAACAAGAATATATTTTAGAATTCGAGCAGACAAGAAATGAGAGACACTGGTAATCGTGGAGCCTCATTCATGTATGATCATTTTCTGCAGCAGGATCATGTCGGTTTTCCTCCTGTTAGTCTCTGTATTTGTACTTTTTTGTTGCAAAAAAGTATTTCAATGTACATTTTAAAAAATAATTTTAAATTGTCACATCTCAAATAATAGGATTAACTATCATTTTTAATGTTTATAAGAATAAGTTATCCATAAATAAAGTTTAATTATTTTTTATTCCTTTTACTTCATGAACTTTACGTTTTGGTTTTTATAATTGAAAATATTTTATTTTAGTTGTAATAGATAAAAATTTTGTTTGTTTTAGCCTGTATAAATAATTGCTTAAATTTTACCTTTAAACTTTATAAAACAAATTATAAAGACCAGAAAGAAAGAAAATTCTATAGAAATTAAAATAAAATATTTTAATTATAAAAATTAAAATGATAAACATTATGAATCTATAAAAATTAAAAAGGTTATAAAACCTAAAAATAATAAGAAATAACCTTTTAAATAATCAAAATACTCGCTTATGAATAAAAATAAAATAAAATAAATGACTATACAAATTAGACCCTCACTCGAGTGATTTTATGCATTTAATTATTAAGAATACAAATATTAAGATTCAGTTATAGTACAGTTTAAAAGTATTTTTGAATTTTTTTATTAGAAATAAAAAATATATATTTTAAAAATATTTAAAATATTTTTTTATTAATTATCTTTTATTTTAATTAATTAAATAAAAAATATATAACTAAATAAATAATATTTTAAAATAAAATAAATAACTAATAATATAAATAATTATTAGAAATTTCATGCGAATAAGAAGTTTTCATATTCGAATAAGAAATTTTGAAATAAACATAATTGAATGAAAAATTGATTTAATCAAATGAAATAAACCTAATTGAATAACATGCGTTCGATTGCAAGCGACCTGTATTCAAATATAATACAATTACGGGTGACGTGTCAATACGAATTCAACCGTTTACTATTTATTTTTCCACAAATTTGCGAAAAAAATTAAAACTAGTGACTCCCACACCTTTTTATTTCTTCACGGACGAATTTCATCAAAATCAAACAAAGTGTCATTTTTATTTTTCAACTATTTCATTGCTTTTCTTTTAACTTCTTTGCTATTTGAATGATAACAAACACAAAGTGAGTGTTCATACAAAGTGAAAATAGTTTTCTTTTTATTGAATGTGAAACTTATAAATCCAAATCATACAATTATATTTTGATAGTTAATATTGAAAAAAAAATTAATAATCATATAAAGTTAAAAATACATTTGGATTCATTTTTAATTTTTACCATTCAAATGTGATATAATAATATGTATTTATTGATGTAATGTTTCATACAATAACTAAATGTTCTTAGTGAAATAATTATGACGTGAGAGTGTCTCTATCTCTATTTTTTTTATACTCATTATCTCTCTCTTTGTTTATTTATACTAGAGAAGCCGAGACACATCGTATCTTTAATAATTATACATAAATTAAATATTATAAAGTTATGTGTAGTTATTTAAAAATGATATAAGATTTTTTTTATACATCTTAGAGATATAATAATCCACTAAAAAGAGATTAAAAGATGTTACACACCCCTATATCTATTTTATAATAGATATAAATAAAGAATATATATATATATATA